TTTAAATATTGGTGTCACGTTAGCTATCTTCCAGTCATTAGGTACGGAAGCCGATTTAAAGGATAGGTTACAAACCACAGATAATAGTTCAGCAATTTCCCATTTGAGTTCTTTTAGAACCCTTGGATGAATGCCATCCGGTCCTGGTGATTTGTTAACGTTAAGTTTTTCTATTTGTTCCAGAACCTCCTCTAATGACACTTCAATACAGGACAGTTCCTCAAATTCATCACCCACAAAGGATGGTACAGATTTGGGAATCTCCCTAACATCCTCAGCCATGAAGACTGAAGCAAAGAAATCATTTAGTTTCTCTGCAATAGCTTATCGTCCTTGATTGCTCCTTTTATATCTCGATCGTCTAGGGGGCCCACCATTTTTTTAGCAGGCTTCGTGCTTCTAATGTACTTAAAAAACATTTTGCTATTGCTTTTTGAGTTTTTGGCTAGCTGTTCCTCAAAAACTTTTTTTGCTTTTCTTATTACATTTTTACACTTGATTTGACAGTATTGTTCCTGTCTATTTATCTCACCAGGATTGGACTTCCACTTCTTGAAAGATGCCTTTTTGTCCCTCACTACTTCTTTTACATGGTGGTTAAGCCACAATGACTCTTTTTTAGGTCTCTTGCTATGTTTTTTAATTTGGGGTATACATTTAAGTTGGGCCTCTATTATGGTATCTTTAAAAAGTTTCCATGCGGCTTGCAGGGATTTGGCTCTAGTCACTGTGCCTTTTAATTTCTGTTTAACTAACCTCATTTTTGTGTAATTCCCCTTTTTGAAATCAAATGCCAGAGTGCTGGACTGCTGAGGTGTTCTTCCCACCACGGGAATGTTAAATGTTGTTATATTATGGTCACTATTCCCTAGTGGTCCTGTAATAGTTACCTCCTGGACCTGATCCTGTGCTCCACTCAGGACTAAAACAAGAATTGCTTCTCCCCTTGTGGGTTACTGTAGCAGCTGCTCCAAGAATCAGTAATTTAAATTCCCTTTAATAAACCTTTCACTCTGTCTGAACTTGTGCACCTCTGCACCTACCTTCTTTCCTTCTACCTTAGGATATGTCTATACTACCAAGTTTTGTTGACAAAACTTATGCCAATATGCAAAAGTTGACAAAGCAAAAAATTGTCAGAAGGTGTTCACATTTGCTCTCTCTGTCAACAGATAATGTCCACATAGGGGGCACCGTCAGCGACAATGTGAGCAATGCACTGTGGATATGTATCCCACAGTAATATTATGGAAAGGCAGAGCGGATTCCTGCACATCTTGGGTTTGCTTCCTAATTCTCCCACCGCATGCTCAGTTGGTAGGAGCAACATGAATAGCTCTGTGAGCTCCCTGCTGAGGAATGTCAAAGCACCAAAGCAGTCTCTCCAGCCCTCCCTCTGCAGCAGCAGTCTGCCTGCTGCTGTGCTCCTAGTGCAGAGCAGAACAGGAACACTCAGATGCTTTGCTCTTTGTTTGTTACCGAACTGGACCAGCTCACTCAGCTGTCAGACATTTCCCAGAGCTTAAAAGAGGAGGGGCACATACCTGCAGGGCAGCAGAGATCAAAATACTGAGCAGAGTCATGAGGGCAGGTATTCTGGGATACTGGTGGGAAACCAGTTCTCTCAACAAAACAAACAGCTGAGTTTGCACTGGGTCGTTGTAGACAATAAAGGGTGGGAGGAAAAAAAGTCTCACGGGGTTGGAAGATTTTTGTCGCTGAAACTGCATGTTTTTCCTGACAAAAGTTGGATTGCAGTGTAAACGCTCTCACTATTTTGGCAGCAAAACTTGGGTGTATACATACCCTTAGTTTAAAAGTTTCCCAATGGCCTTTTTATGTTTATGCACCACAAGTCTGGTTCCAGTTTGGTTTAGGTGGAGCTCATCCTTCCCATATAGGTTCCTCCTTTCCTAAATAGTTCCCAATTTCTAATAAATCCAAATTGCTCCTCCCTGCACCATTGTCTCATCCACACATTGAAACTCTGAAGCTCTGCCTGCCTACCTGGCCCTGTGCATGGAACTGGAAGCATTTCCAAGAATGCCACCATAGAGGTCCTGGATTTCAGTCTCTTTCCTAGCAACCGAAATTTGGCCTCCAGGACATCTCTCCTACCCGTCCCTACGTCATTGGTATCTTCATGTAGCACTTCTCTAGATCAGTTGGAAATGCTCCTCCTAATGTGCCCTAATATGCTATTAGCCTTCTTAGATACAAGGGCACACTATTGACTCATATCCAGCTTCTCATCCACTATAATCCCCAGGTCTTTTTCTGCTGAACTGCTACCTAGCCAGTCGGCCCCCAGCCTGTAACAATGCTTGGGATTCTTCTAACCAAGGTGCAGGACTCTACACTTGTCCTTGTTGAACCTCATCAGATTTCTTTTGGCCCAGTCCTCCAATTTGTCTACGTCACTCTGGACCCTATCCCTTTCCTCCAACGTATCTACCTCTCCCCCAGCTTAGTGTCATCCACAAATTTGCTGAGGGTGCAATCCTTCCCCTCATCCAGGTCATTAATAAAGATGTTGAACAAAACCGGCCCTAGAACTGATCTTTGGGGCACTCCGCTTGAAACCAATTGCCATCCAGACATAGAGCCATTGATCACTATCCGTTGAGCTTTACAATCTAGTCAGCTTTCCAGCTTTGCTAAAGTCAAGGTATATCACATCCACTGACTTCCCAATGTCCACAGAGCCAGTTACCTCATCATAGAAGCTAATTAGATTGACAGGCACAACTTGCCCTTAGTGAATCCATGTTGACTCTTCCTGATCTCTTTCCCCTCTTCCAAATGCTTGAAAATGGATTCCTTGGGGATTCTCCTCCATGATTTTTCCTGAGACTGAGGTAAGGCTGGCTGGTCTACAGTTCTCTGGATTGTCCTTCTTCCCTTTTTAAAGATGGGCACTACATTTGCCTTTTTCCAATTATCTGGGACCTTGCCCAACCACCACAAATTTTCAAAGATAATGGCCAAAGGCTCTGCAATGATATCTGCCAACTCCCTCAGTACTCTCGGATGCATTAAATCCAGACCCATGAATTTGTGTATCTCTAGCTTTTCTAAATAGTTCTTAACCTGTTCTTTCTCCACTGAGGGCGGCCCACCTCCTCATACTCGTTGCCTAGTGCAATAGTCTGGAAGCTAACCTTGTCTGTGAAGACAGAGGCAAAAAAAGCACGGAGTACTTCAGCTTAAGTATGGTTACCTGCCTCTCTCCGACTATTCCCTCTGCAAGTAGCCCTAACATTTTCTGAGAATTTTGTTTTGTGGGAAATTTCAGTTTGTTTTTTGTACTACTTCAAAAGGTACATCATATGCAATGCTCCTGTGCCATGTGAATTGACCAAACCAAACAGTCTCTGCGCCAAAGGATAAATGGACACAAATCAGACATCAAGAAAGGTAACATCCATAAAGCCAGTAGGAGAACACTTTAACCTTCCTGGACACTCACTAAGGGTATATCTACACTACCCTCCTAATTCGAACTAGGAGGGTAATGTAGGCATACCACACTTGCAAATGAAGCCCGGGATTTGAATTTCCCGGGCTTCATTTGCATAAAGCCGGCCGGCGCCATTTTTAAATGCCGGCAGTTCGAACCCCGTGCCGCGCGGCTACACGCGGCACGGAGTAGCTAGTTCGGATTAGGCTTCCTAATCCGAACTAGCTGTACTCCTCGTGGAATGAGGTTCGAACTGCCGGCATTTAAAAATGGCGCCGGCCGGCTTTATGCAAATGAAGCACGGGAAATTCAAATCCCGGGCTTCATTAGCAAGTGTGGTATGGCTACATTACCCTCCTAGTTCGAATTAGGAGGGTAGTGTAGACATACCCTAACAGATTTAAAAATAGGCATCCTTCTTTAAAAATACAAAACCAGACTACAAAGAGAAACAGCAGAGCTGCAATTCATTTGCAAATTTAACACTATCAAATTACGACTGAATAAGGATTTAGAGTGGTTATTTCTCTACAAAAGCAATTATCTTTCTTTTGGTATTCATGCCTTCCCATCAGCTGTTGGAAGAGAGCCACACCTCCTCCCCGTCCCTTCCCCCCACTTTATTAGCCTACTTAACACTGGTCCTACACTTGAGAAGTAACTCCCTTCTTTTGATATAACTAGTACATATAGACGTAATTATATGTAATTTCTACTCTAATGCATCTGGTGAAGTGGCTTTTACCCACAAAAGCTTATGGCTAAATACATTTGTTCTTTATGGTGCCATAGGCTTCATTGTTTTTGCAGGTACAAACACACACAGCTACCCCTCTGAGACTTGTCATTATTCTTGCTTCTCCTGCTCTCTGCAGGTTGCTGGTATCTAGGTGGGAGGCCCAGTACATGACACACAGAGAGTCAGCTGCTTTAAAGGTCTGATCCAAACTCTGTTAAAATCAATGGAAAGACCCTTGTTGACTTAAGTTGACTCTGGATCAAGCTTTAAAGGAAAATCCAGGTCCTCATCACAACTACACAATGATGCTGCCGAGCAATTTGTCTGTGTTTTATAAATGGAATGGATCTTGTTCCCATGGGAATGCAGGGAAGCTACCAGCTCCGCATGTCATTTAGCCCTTCCTCCAACAGCCTGGATCGAGAGCCTGAGCCCAGAATGGTGCACTACCATTGGATGGACTCTTGGGAGTGGGGGTTGCTTTGCAACTCACTTGGGAACAACATGAAACAGACATTGATTAACAAACAAGCCTCCAACCAGCCCTTGCTGCTTATTTTCCACCCACCTGGTACTGCCTATTCCCAGCAATCTCACATGGCTCACTGAGCGGCATGTTATCCTGTCTCACTCATTTACTCCATGCCTCATACCCTAGTTCTTTCTTGTCTGGTCAATGTGTGGTAGGCCTGGAGCATCCAGTCACTTCCATTTTCACCCTGCTTTGTCCATTGCCCTTCCTGGTTCCTGACCATCACTATCTCACTCCAAGAGTGAAAATGAGCAGCACTATTTACTCACCTGGTCCAAATGGAACCTCGTGACATCCTGGGTTCTGCAGAACAGAAAGGAGAGGGTCATGGATGGGAGCTAGGCAACCTGCAAGGCCATCAGCTCAAGATATAACTAATGAAGAAGCCTCTTTCCTCTGTTTCTCCCTGCCTGGAAGAGGAAGCAGGTAGGTTTCAAGCCATTTGGGCTCCATCAAACCAAACCAACAGCTGAGGCATGCCCCTGCTCTGAGGGCAGCCAGTGCCCCCACAGCATTAATCAAAGGCCAGATCCAATACTGATCAGTGTCAAGGAGGGTTGACTTCAGTGGAACTTGGAACTTTGGAACCTCCTAGGCCTGGGTGACTATGGAGATGTCTCTATGTTCTTGCCGAAAGTAGATGGGTGAGAAGGGGAATCAATGCTGGAGCATGGCTTCCAAAAGACTGGTGGGCTGGAAGCTGGCAGTGGGGTCAGGCAGATATTGAGAGAGAGGTGGGATTGCAGAGGATGTTGGGGCCTTCAATCTCACCCGTAGCCGGCCCATTCCTCCCTCACCTCCTTCCACTTACCCTTCCCTATAACCTCTAGATCTTCCCCTCCCAGGAACTAATCTGACCTGCTCACCTCCTTCTGTGCTAGACCCCTCTGCTGAATAGTCTGCAGGTCCCACTGCAATACATTATGGGCAGACTTCTCCGCTGGGAAGTGATCCCTAATGCACTGTGCTGTTCCACCAGGTGAGCAGCTGGCCAGTCTGGTCCGATGGGGACCCAGCTTAGAAGTGGGCAAACTATGCCTGATGAGATAGAGGAGGAGGAGGAAGGGGACTGGAGGTTAGAAGGGAGAGGGCTGAGCAGGAAGTGGTGAGAAATGTTTGATTTTACCTGGCTGGGTCTGTGAGCCAGCTGGGAGGCTGGAAGTGCCCCAGAAAACTAGCCTAAACCCAGAAAGCTGGGATATGTGGGCCCCATGCACCCTTGCATTGTTCGGGCCAGGATACAATCTTGCTTGTGGCCCTAGTGCCTGGCTGGGCAATAATTTTTGCGGGGGGAGGGGGAGAGGGGAAGGGAGTGGCCACTCCAAGAATTTAGTAAGTGGTCAAGGGCTGTACTTTTCCATGATATTAATGAAGGAAGTGCAGGGTCTGGGATGAAGGATGGGTGCAGAAGAGAGCTCAGGGTAGAGGATTGGGCTGCAGGAGTGGGTGTGGGATCTGGGAGGAAGTTTTGGTGAAGGAAGGGGTTGTGACCTGGGGCAGGAAATTGGAGTGCAAGGGTGTGAGATGGGGTATGGGTGCAGAAGTGGAGGTGCAGAGGGTTTGGGTTACATGGGGCAAGGGGTACAAGAGGGGGAGCAGAGGGCTTGGGTGCAGGGTGCCAGGTATAAGCTCCAATCAGGAGGCACTTACCTTGGTGGCTCCCAGGAGTGGGAGTTCCTATCAATGGGAGTTGTGAGATTGTGCTGGGGGTGTGGGCAGTGTGCAAAGCCCCACCTCCCATCCCAGGAGCTCATGGCAAGCAGAGCACATAACCCCTGCAGCCAGCTGTTTTGAATGGTGTGTGGCGGCATGGAGCCTGCCTGACGCTCCTACTAGGCGATGGGATGGTAGCCCAGATCTGGCGGTTTGGTGAGTTGGATCCAGCCCATGGGCCACATTTTTCCCATGCATGCCTTAGTGAAATGAGTTTGCTAGACACAGCCCTTGGGATGTATCAGAACTAGGATGTCACTACTCAGCCTGGCCCAACTGAACATGAATTGGGGTAAAACATCTCAGAATGGAAGGTAATTGGCCCAACTGTGTGGGATGCAGGACTGCAGGATGCATGCAGGGAAAGTAGACAGGAAAGGTTGCCCACCACTGCCCACACTGTCACTGGCTCCCATCAGCACTGTCATTTTCTTAGCACAGGTGCAAAATATTCACAACGACAAAATACTGGGGTTAGGAGGGAACTTCCGCTATGAACAGGTTATTCCATAGCATCCCAAGCCAGGGGTTTCACACCTGCCTCTGAAGCCATGACCAAGACAGGATACTGGGCTGGATGGACCTGCAAGGGGGAGGTAAGAAGGTCACCATGGATGAAGCAAAACTTACACAAAACGGGGCTGGTGCCATGTAGAACACCTTGGGTCAGAGCCTCAGCTGGTGTAAACTGACAGAGTTCTGCTGATTCAGTTAGCCAATCCTCATGTTCCTAAAATGCCACAAGCAATGAACTATCTGGATCCCAATGGGAGACAGGAAGAAGCTGGGCCAGGAGGAAGCTAGGGAGTTGCTTAAGGATACATCCACCGGAGAAAGAGCTGGGAAACCGATCTCCATACCTATTGAGCATGTGCGTATCATCCACATCACTGTCAGTTGGGGTGGCTGCCTTTTCATATAGGAACGTCTGCTTTTCTGGTAGGATATCAGCGACAGCATCGGGGGGCGGAAGGGAGATGCCATTATCTTGGTGAAGCTGCAAGGGGGAGTTGAGAAGTCACCATAGATGGAGCAAAACTTACACAAAACGGAGCTGGTGCCATGTAGAACACCTTGGGTCATGGACCTGGGGCCAGAGCCTCAGCTGGTGTAAACTGACAGAGTTCTGCTGACTTCCATGGAATGATGCTGATTTCCGGATCTGGTTTCTAACACTAAGGCCAGCCTGATACTGTTTCAAACTCTCCTATATCCTTCCTCTCTTTCTCTATTTACTTAGGGCACTTATCTGAAGAACAGCTCCGTGTTTCCTAATAGTTTGCCTGGTCTGGTTGTTCACTTGGTCCTGCTGGGTCTTTCTTAGCTTCATCTTTCAGAACTTATGAACAGCAGAGCCCAAGACCACTTGGGGTCACTGAAGATCACACAAGGTACTTTTGATGTTGGTGCAAGGTGTTAACTGTAGTGATAGGGCTCAATTCCAGAGGGATCAGTTATACTCAGCCCCCCCCTCGGGCTGCCAGTTGTTTCAGCCTGATCACGGATTCTCAGGCAGCCTTGAACATTTCAGAGCAAATTTTGAGTTATATTATTTGCCAGGATGGTGTGCACTGTGGCAAAAGAAATTGAACTGGGGTTTAGGATAGCTGGGTCATAGTCCCAGTACTAGTATTTCAAATGTGTTGCTTCTTGGGTAATACTCACAAGGTAGTTTATATCCAATCTAGCCAGCACATTGTGCATGAACTGTTGAAATTGGTGGTCCAATCAAGGACAAAATGGGCCACAGAAGAAGCTTGTCCCTGCCCAGTGAGTTGTGGATGCTTTACCCAGAATATGGGTAATGGCTCCTCCAATGAGTCATCAAAAATGCAAGGGCATATGATCCTGAACTCCATCTTGTGCCTGTTCCCACAAACTATGACTGAGAATAGTCCCTCCACCTGGGAGAAGATAAAGGACCCTGGAAGCATTGCTTTGTTTGACATCTTTATTAGCGATCTGGATGATGGGATGGATTGTACTCTGCAATTTCATGGATGACAGTAACCCAGGAAATTACAGACCAGTTAGTTTAACTTCTGTGCCAGGGAAGATAATGGAACAAGTAATTAAGGCGATCATCTGTAAACACTTGGAAGGTAGCAAGGTGATAAGGAACAGCCAGCATAGATTTGTAAAGAACAAATCATGTCAAACCAATCTGATAGCTTTCTTTAATAGGATAACGAGTCTTGTGGATAAGGGAGAAGCAGTGGATATGGTACACCTAGACTTTAGTAAAGCGTTTGATATGGTCTCGCATGATATTTTTATCAATAAACTAGGCAAATACAACTTAGATGGGGCTACTATAAGGTGGGTGCATAACTGGCTGGATAACCGTACTCAGAGAGTAGTTATTAACGGTTCACAATCCTGCTGGAAAAGTATAACAAGTGGGGTTCCGCAGGGGTCTGTTTTGGGACCGGCTCTGTTCAATATCTTCATCAACGATTTAGATATTGGCATAGATAGTACGCGTATTAAGTTTGCAGATGATACCAAGCTGGGAGGGATTGCGACTAATTTGGAGGATAGGGTCATAATTCAAAATGATCTGGACAAATAGAAGAAATGGTCTGAGGTAAACAGGATGAAGTTTAATAAAGACAAATGCAAAGTGCTCCACTGAGGAAGGAACAATCAGTTTCACACATACAGAATGGGAAGTGACTGTCTAGCAAGGAGTATGGCAGAAAGGGATCTAGGGGTTATAGTGGACCACAAGCTGAATATGAGTCAGCAGTGTGTTGCTGTTGAAAAAAAAAGCAAACATGATTCTGGGATGCATTAACAGGTGTGTTGTGAGCAAGACACGAGAAGTCATTCTTCCACTCTACTCTGCGCTAGTTAGGCCTCAATTGGAGTATTGTGTCCAGATCTGGGCACCGCATTTCAAGAAACCTATAGAGAAACTGGAGAGGGTCTAGGGAAGAGCAACAAGAATGATTAAAGGTCTAGAGAACATGACCTATAAAGGAAGGCTGAAAGAATTGGGTTTGTTTAGTTTAGAAAAGAGAAAACTGAGGGGGGACATGATAGCCGTTTTCAGGTATCTAAAAGGATGTCATAAGGAGGAGGGAGAAAACTTGTTCATCTTGGCCTCTGAGGATAGAACAAGAAGCAATGGGCTTAAACTGCAGCAAGGGAGGTTTAGGTTGGATGTTAGGAAAAAGTTCCTAACTGTCAGGGTGGTCAAACACTGGAATAAATTGCCCAGGGAGGTTGTGGAATCTCCATCTGTGGAGATATTTAAGAGTAGGTTAGATAAATGTCTATCAGGGATGGTCTAGACAGTATTTGGTCCTGCCATGAGGGCAGGGGACTGTACTCGATGACCTCTCGAGGTCACTTCCAGTCCTAGTATTCTATGATTCTAAGCTGGGGGAGAGGTAGATAGGCTAAAAGGTAGGTGTAAGGACCAGAGTGATCTAGACAAACTGAAGAATTGGATCAAAAGAAATCTGATGAGGTTCAACAAGGACAAATGCAGAGTCCTGCACTTAATATAGAATCCCCAAGCCCTGCTACAGGCCAAAGGTGAGACCAGACCTCTGTACCTTAACATCAGGTTTTCAAGGTAAGGCATAAGTATGCTAGGTTAAGTAGTTCTTTATCTTAGAAATGTTACCAAAAGGAGTCCTAGAAGTGTATTTCGTTCTTGTAATTCCATGTTTCCTAATGTCTGGAATTCTTTCATTTGTTTTAATACAAGTTTTAACAAATTAGTATTATCCTCAATTTAAATGCCCTTGTCACACAACCTGAGAATCCTTTTTCAAGACAGAACCATATACGTTCTCTCTCACTCTGTAGCCTGAATTGGGTTAAGAACCTAAATATCTTCTGGTCACAAGTAGCCAGTGGCAAAGCACAACCACTAGTCCATAAATTCAGATTAACACAAGGGATGAGAAGCTGGATATGAATCAACAGCATGCCCTTTTTGCCAAGAAAGCTAATGGCATATTGGGCTGCTTAGTAGGAACATTGCCAGCAGATCAAGAGAAGTGATTATTTTCCTCTATTCAGTACTGGTACGGACATGTGGAGTATTGAATGAGGTTTGGGGCCCCCATTACAGAAAGGATGTGGAAAAACCTAGAAAGAGTTGATTGAGTGAAAGAAAAAATTATTATGAGGAGGGGCTGTGGGAACTGGGTTTATTTAGTCTGTAGAAGAGAAGAATGAGGGGGGATTTGATAGCATCCTTCAACCACCTGAAGGAGGGGTTCCAAAGAGGGTGGAGAGAGGCTGTTCTCTGTATAAATCCTAGTGAGGAAAACAGAAAGGAGCATAAACACTGTCAAATTAAGTATACAAATATAATTAGGAAGGCCAAAATTTTTTTGAAGAACACTTAGACAAAAACTAAAAAATTAACAGCAAAATTTGTTAAGTATGTCGGAAGCAGTGGGGCCACTGGACGATCGAGATGCTAAAGGAGCACTCAAGGACAATATGGTCATTGCAGAGAAACTAAGGGCATGTCTAAACTACATCCCTCTTTCAAAAGAGGGATATAAACTAGACATCATGAAATTGCAAATGAAGCTGGGATTTGAATTTCCCATGCTTCATTTGCATAACGGCGGCCACGCATTCTTTCGAAAATGGGCTTTTTGAAAGTGAAACCGCTGTCTAGATGTGGTTCTTCCGGGAAAAAAAACCTTTTTCAAAAGATCCTGTAATGCCTCGAAAAACGAGATTTACAGGATCTTTCGAAAAAGGGTTTTTTTTCCCCAAAAGAACCGTGTCTAGACGGCGGTTTCACTTTCGAAATTCCTGTTTTTGAAAGAACGCATGGCTGCCATTATTCAAATGAAGCATGGGAAATTCAAATCCCGGCTTCATTCGCAATTTCAATGTGTCTAATTTACATCCCTCTTTCGAAAGACGGATGTAGTCTAGACATAGCCTAAATGAATTCTTTGCATCAGTCTTTGCAGCTGAAGATGTTAGGGAGATTCCCAATTCTGAGCCATTCTTTTTAGCTGACAAGTCTGAGGAATTGTCCCAGACTGAAGTCTCATTAGAGAAGGTTTTAGAATGAATTGATAAAGTGCTTTCGAAAGACGGATGTAGTCTAGACATAGCCTAAATGAATTCTTTGCATCAGTCTTTGCAGCTGAAGATGTTAGGGAGATTCCCAATTCTGAGCCATTCTTTTTAGCTGACAAGTCTGAGGGACCAGATGCCAGTCACCCACGAGTTTTGAAAGAACACAAATGTGATGCTAATCTTTAAAAAAAAACTTTAGCTACAAGATGAAGTTTGGCTCATCTGTACGTAAATGCTTATGTCTCCTTTGGTTTAAGACACATAAGCTGAAGATGTTAGGGAGATTCCCAATTCTGAGCCATTCTTTTTAGCTGACAAGTCTGAGGAATTGTCCCAGACTGAAGTCTCATTAGAGAAGGTTTTAGAATGAATTGATAAAGTGAACAGTAACAAGTCAGCAGGACCAGATGCCAGTCACCCACGAGTTTTGAAAGAACACAAATGTGATGCTAATCTTTAAAAAAGGCTATAGAGGTGATCCTGGCAATTACAGACTTGTAAGTCTAATGTCAGTACCAGGCAAATTAGTTGAAACAATAGTAAAGGATAAAATTGTCAGACATAGATGAACATAATCTGTTGAGCAGTGGATATAATGTACTTAGATTTCCAGAAAGCCTTTGACAAGGTCCCTCATGAAAGGCTCTTAAGTAAAGTAAGTTATCATGGGATAAGAAAGAAGTTCCTCCCGACACATAGATGAACATAATTTTCAGGGGAAAAGTCAACATGGTTTCTGTAAAGAGAAATCATGCTGCCTTAATCTACTGGAATTCTTTGAGGGTGTCAACAAACATGTGGACAAGGGGGAGTCAGTGGATATAATGTACTTAGATTTCCAGAAAGCCTTTGACAAGGTCCCTCATGAAAGGCTCTTAAGTAAAGTAAGTTATCATGGGATAAGAAAGAAGTTCCTCCCCATGGACTGATAAC